GCACCGTGTTATTCATTGCGAACTCCACCGACTCTAAAGCTTTATCCCAGCCTACTTCGTTCTCGGAACTAACCATTTTCGCAATCATCGGGCCTAAACTTTTGTTCACGATTTCGACTTGCCCGTTCGCCTGGGGCGAGTTCGTTGCAACTTTTATGTGCTCCACGCTACTATCATCTAAAAAATCTTCGAATTCTTTCGACGTAAAGCAAGTTCCCCGGTCTGACACTATCGTTTTTGGCCTGCTGTATGCTCTAAAATAATCTTTCAGTGCTACCACCGCTTCTTTCGATGCAGTTTTTGAAGGGTAGAGACGAACGAACTTTGTAAACGCGCCTATAACTACTAATATATGTTTGTACCTTATACACTTGCTTTGAATTGAACCGTAATGGTCGATATGAACCATTTCAAACGGGGTATTTCCCTTTGGTATCATATGTAGTAGTCCTTCTTTCTTACCTCTTTTAGCTGAAAATGCTATACACTTCAAGCAGTTTTCAGTATGGTTGCTTGCTTTTTTCCTAATACTCGGGAACCAGTAACTTTTACCTATCGTTTGTACAACTTATACATAACATGTCGCTCCATTGACTCCGGTACGTAAAAAAGTAAATCTTTGTCTTTCTTTTTAAAAACTATTCCATTCCTCATCCCATAGTGGCTACTCTCATTTAGTTCTAACTCTTTCTTTATCTTTGTTATCTTTTCATCTCTACTTTGGCATATAATTAAATTTTCTTCAAAAGTGTTCGTATGGATTACAAGTACATTATTTACTCTACTTAGTGCATCTACGTGTTGCATTCTTTTGCCTGCTCTGTGCTCGAGTTCGTAATCATAATTTTGTAACTCTAAAGCCCATCTCGCTATTCTCGGGTTAACATCTTTTTTATTGAGCGCCAGGGTTAAAGAATTGCTGTCAGTAACTATTTTAAATCTTATGCCTTGCAGATAAACTCTGAACCTTTTCAATGCGTACACTATTGCTAAAGTTTCCAGCTCGAAGCTGTGATATCTTGATTCTGTCGTGCTTTTGAAAAATAGAACACCGGATGAAATTTTCCACCCTTTTTCTTCTGCAGCAATATTTCTCCGAACCCTATAGCACTTGCGTCGCAGTGTAACTCTGTCGTGTCGTTGGCGTCATAAATTGCCAACAGTGGGGACGCTATTAGTTTCTCTCTAAGGTTGTTAAATGATTCTAACTCTGTACTCCCGAACTGAAACTTATTGTCTTTCTTCGTAAGGTCATGGAGGGGCTTGGCTATGCTTGAAAAATCTTTTATAAATCTTCTGAAGTACGAGCATAAACCTACAAAACTTTGAACCTCTTGGACTTGGGTGGGACTGCAAAGTTTTCGACTGCTTTTATGTGTTCTCGTCTGCTCGAATACCTTCGCCAGTAATAACGTAACCTAGATAAGACACTTTAGGTTGCAGAAACTTACACTTGTCTAACCGTAATTCTAAACTATTCTGTACGATCTTCAAAAGAACTTTCTCCAACACCTCTAAATGGTGCTCTATACTTTGTGTTGCTATCATAATGTCGTCGAGATAAACTATAACCTCTCCGCTTCGGATCATGTCCGCAAAAACTTTGTTAATAAATTTCTGAAACGTTGCAGGTGCATTTTTCAGGCCAAAAGGCATTCTTAAAAATTTGTACTGTCCTAAAGGAGTGGTGAAAGAAGTGTACTTCACTGAATCTTCGTTCATGAACACGTGAAAAACCCGTTCTTTAAATCCAACTTGGTGAATACCTTTTTGTTTGCTAGCCTGTCTAATAAGTCGTCTATAAGTGATATTGGGTAATTGTCTTTTACTGTAACTTTGTTTAGCTTTCTATAACCGACACACATTCGAAGATCGCCTGTTTTTTTCTTGACTAACACTATCGGAGACACAAATTCTGACTCGCTTTGTCGTATGTAACCTTTTTCCAAATATTCGTATATTATTTTCTGTAACTCTATCTTTTCATTGTACGCTAGTCTTCTTGGAGTACAAGCGAACGGTTTATCATTTTCCAGAACGAGTTTCATTTCTTTTCTAACTAGGGGCTTATCAAGCTTCTTTGAGTTCACATAAACCTTCGTGAATATCTCCTGAAAATGTTTCTTTTTATCGCACTTAACGTTTTCGCCTAGTTTCAGACTTATATCCGCTTCTTCGACTATATAAATTGCCATAATTTCGTTTATCACCTCATTAACATTATTGCCTTCACTGAACTTATCATTCATCGCGCCTTGGACCCTTAGACATTATGTGCACCTTCGTTACTATTAACAACAACTAACTTGGTATTTTCCTCATCCTCATATATGTTCTCGACCTTGTTCTCCGCTTTGTCCGCCTCGTTGCATACATTCACTTCTATTACCTTATCCATAAACTCTAAGTTTCCGATCTTCAACGTTGCGTCACTTGCTTCTATAAAATCTCTACCTAACAACACTGAGTAGCCAATACATTCATTTGGAACCACCAAGAGTTCGATTAAAACATCTTTATTCAGAACTTTAATTGTACATTTGAATTTCCGGAGAATATTTAAAACTGATTTATTCAACCCATGGTATGATTCTGTAACTCGTTCTAACTGCACTCCTGCTGGTACCACAACTTCGTTTATCAAACTAACTGGACTGCCCGAGTCCACTAAACATTCTACGAATATATCAACGTTAGCATGTACCAATACATATAATTTGAAATAACTTACGAAATTATTTTTTGTTTTCTTGTACTCCTTGCACTCCGTAGCGTAGTAGCCTTTTGCTTCACAAGCGAAGCAGGATCCTGGTTCACGTTTTGCCTTTCTGCATTCTTTGGCGTAGTGGCCGGAGCAGTTACAATTATAGCATCTCATCCGTTGGCTGGTATGTGGTCTTTCCGTCGGGCGTTCCGGCAGCGTAATGGAGCGAAAAGCTTTAACAACTTCGTTGGCTGACGTGAAGTTTTGTAACCTCGCTTGGTTTTGCAGCTGTCTATCAGGTATTCCTTCCATCAGGTAGTCGGCTAACTCTTCGTCGCTTAGGTTAAGATCGTTGCCTAGTATGCATTTCTCGTTAAAGTAGTTGGCAAAACTTTCTTCCGGTACCCAGCATCGTTTCTCGAATTTGCGCCGGCGTTCAAGTTTGTTATCTCCGGACGCAAAAACGGCTTTCATTTCGCCAAGTAGCTCATCTACACTTTTAGGGAACGTTGTTTTTGCGTTGTACCATGCCAGGTCAGCACCTTTCAATTTAAGATGGACAGTGACGCCCAACATGGTATCGCTAGTTTTGAACATTTCGCGATAGCGCAATATTTGGTTGTACCAAACCTTGAAACCGTCTCCGCCGTCGTAAATTGGAATTATTTCCTTCAGGGTTTCAAGGGTATATCGTCGCTTTTCCCTTTGCTTGTACTTGCCATCGAATTTTCTTTTTCTAGTAGCGTCTTCTGAAGCTTGAGGAACTCTATTTCTTTTCTCAAGAGCTCGGGTTTGAGTGCCGCTACTTCGACGCTGCCATTATCACGGTCGTTTGAATGTCGCATTGCTTCGCCGTTATTCATGTCACCGGCGTTTTGTATACGGTTCCCAAAAGTACCGCTGTGCACACGCGCTATGTTGTTTCGCACGTACACTACATCCTCATCGTTTCTACCTCGGTTTCTAACCTCACTTCTTGTACGCCTTTGTACGTTGTTGTTCTCGCCATCGTCAATGTTTGCCCTGCTACTAGCCTCGTTGTTCTCGCCGTTATTCGTTCCATTGTCCTCGCCGTCATCTCGAACATTGCGCACACCATTGTCCTCACCGTTGTTCTGAACATTGTACTCACCGTTGTCTTCGCCGTTATTTGGATTATTGCGCATAATATTGTCCTCGCCGCAATTCCAAATATTGCGCGCGCCATTATCCTCGACGTTGTTTTTCTGCGTATCACCACTTCGTTCTTTCGCTCCATCGTTGCCCGAAACACCTTCACCTGGGCACATTCCACGTGCCTCCGCTGACAACTCACTGAGCCTTGCAGCTAACGAAGCTTTAGCGCCACTTGCGTTTATACCGACGGCTGTGCACCAGGCTTTTAGTTGCAGCAGTGAGTACCTCTCGGCGTTGATCACTTCGTTGTCCTTCTGCATTTTCGTTGTTTCCTTTTTATTTAAAACTTATATTTTCAAACTTTTTTTTTTCTTAAAAAAATTCGGTTCTCGCGACCACTTCTGATAAAATGTATCAGGTGGCAGTGGTACATATAAGAAAAGAATACGACCGTTTATCTCGCTGTCCAAAATCGAATGAACTCTTTTTTATTTCCAAAATGGCTTATCCCGTTTGACATTTCCCAAATCTTATTCGCTAATCTTACAAACGAGTGTTAAGGTCTAGTTACTCATCCAATTGTTAAGGCGTAATTACTTAAACTACTTCTTAAGGTCTAGTTGCATAAATACTATTTCTTACGGTCTAGTTACGTAAGTACAAGCACATGCATATACGTATACCTACTAAAGTGCCCTACGGCTCCTACAGTACGTTTTGATTGATTTTGGTAAAAAAAAAAATTTGTCCGCGGCAACACTGGTTTTAGATGGATTTATTTTTTAATTATAAGTTTCATTTAAATGTTATCTAAAAAAATAAATCGTTTTCCAAACGAAAATTTATTTGTAATTTTTCTTAATGACTTTTTTATTTTTTCGGGTTATAAAGCGCGCCAAACCTCGTGTGTGCCCGTTCAGCTTTTGCATGTAATTGAAATTATGTGAAATACTTTTCCCTTTTAGTCGAATTCGAACAGGAAGTATCGTTTTTAATGCATTTATACTGTACGGCACTTGGCTTGACCAAACCATTTTTTTAGGACATCTTACTAATATTATAAATGTGAAAGTTTGTATGTTTGGACGTTTGGGAAATCATCACGCGGAAACTACTGAACGGATTTGCATGAAATTTTATACGCAGATAGCTTATGGGCCAGATTGGTTAATAGGCTACTTTCTTACGAGTTGCCACCTGTTAAAAAAGTTTAATTTATTTAATATGCGGGAACGACTGAACGGATTTGCATGAAAATTTGCACAAAATAGCTTATTACCTATGTAGATTGGAAAATAGGCTACTTTTCTTAAGAGTTGCCACCTGGTAAAAAAGTTTAATTAAATTAATACGCGGAAACGTCTGAACGGATTTGCATGAAATTTTGCAAGCAGATAGCTTATGACCTACAGTGGAAAATAGGCTAATTTTTTGGAAGAGTTGCCACCTGTTAAAAAAAAAATTAAATTAATACGCAGAAACGACCGAACGGATTTGCATGAAATTTGGCACAGAGATAGCTTATGACCTACGTTGGAAAACAGGCTACTAGTTTAGGAGTTGCCACCTGTTAGAAAATTTTAATTAAATTAATACGCGGAAATGACTGAACTGATTTGCATTAAAGTTTGCACACAGATAGCTTATGACCTAGATTACTTTTTTAAGAATTGCTACCTGTTTAAAAATTAAATTTTGCTCACAGATGGTTTATTACCTGGATTGAAAAATAGGCTACTTCCTTAACCGGGCTCCCAATCAGAACGAAATTTGGTGCACGTTAGATGGCGTTATACTGAAAGTGATTCCGATAACTCAAGTCCCCTTCCATACAAATTGGAATTTTCATATTACATACATGTCTTTGGAAGTATTTGTGGGAGAAAACTGGAACTTGGTATTGAGATATGTATGTGAAATCAATGTTGGCATTAATCGATTGATTTTTTAATCAATTAGTTAATTGGATTGAAATCAATCTGCTTACAGTTAATCATGATTAATTTTAATCTGATTAAACAGTTAACTGTTAAACAGTTAATCATAACCGCGATTAAAAAAATAAAGTTTTTATCATTAACTCTTAATTTGAACAAATAGGTTTGGTGATTAATTAATTTATGCTGGAATTTTCATGTGCACACAAAGCAAGTTAATCCGGTGTGGCTAAGTTGGGTTTCCTCCCCAATCTGAACAATTTGGTGTGCATTTTTATTAAGCTCTATACCAACAAACGTTTTACAAACTAGGTTTGTAAAAGTTCCCTGTTTACGAATTACTAATAACAATAATTATAATTGTTTATTATATTATGTGCTTTTTATAAGCGTAAAATATAAAATAATTACTATAACTGGTGTTTGGTTTCAAATTCGGACAAACTAGATAACTTAATCAGATTTTATTTTTAATTGGATTGACGATTAATGATTAAAATTAATTAATCGTAATCGCAGACACCGAGTAACAACTAAAAGAATTTAATCATTAATCGTACAGTTGATAACGAATAATTAATTTTAATCGTCAAACGCGATTAACATTTTAATCTTAACATTTTGCCAACACTGTGTGAAATCATTTTCATACTCACAAGCAAAATGGACGTTTTTGGAAAAGAGGCGTAGCACCTCCCATGATGATTGAAAGTTTCATATTGCATATCTCTTCAAATGTTTGGGTAAAGTACTCAAGCTTGGTATGGAAATACATCTATCTATATATCTCTGGAGGTGTTTATTGCAGAGGACTGGAACTTGGCACCGAGATGTGTATACAAAATTAATTCCATGCTCATGGAGAAATACATTTGTCTATATCTATCTCGATTCGTTTTGGCTGTTACAAACAACCGTTATGTGAACAAAATTAATATACCCTTGTGCACAAGTGCTCTCGGGTATAAATATGGATCATCCTTTTGCGGAAAGCATTGTAGAGCGCATTCACCAGCTTTTACGAGAAGGTAAAAGCTGTCGCGCAGTAGC